TAATAGTAGTAGTAGTAGTAGTAGTAGTAGTGGTAGTAGTAGTAGTAGTAGTAGTACGAGTAGGAGTAGTAGCACTGATAGAATAATAATAATAGTCGTATCAGTAGTAGCAGTAGTAGGCGTAGTAGTAGTAGTAGTAGTAGTAGTAGTAGTACGAGTAGGAGTAGTAGTAGTAGTAGTAGTAGTAACAGCAGTAGTAGTAGCACTAGTAGTGGTAGTAGTACTAGTAGTACGTAGTCGTCGTCGTCGTAGTAGTGGTAGTAGAAGTATACGTAGGAGTAGAAGTAGAAGTAGAAGTAGAAGTAGAAGTAGAAGTAGTAGTAGTAGTCGTAGTAGTCGTAGTCGTAGTAGTAGTAGTAGTAGTAGTCGTAGTAATAATAGTAGTAGTAGTAGTAAAGGTCGTATTCGTAGTAGTAGTAGTAGTACTAGTAGTAATAGTAGTAATAGTAGTAGTAGTAGTAGTAGTAGTCGTAGTAGTAGTAGTAGTAGAAATCGTAGTCGTAGTCGTAGTAGTAGTAGTAGTAGTAGTAGTAGTAGTAGTAGTAGTGGTAGTAGTACTAGTAATCGCAGTCAAAGTAGAAATAATAGTCGTCGTCGTATGTTTGGATGATGTTGTGTGCTATCCAGCTATCCATTCCTATCTCTATCCCTCTTGCTACCCATTTCAATATATCCGCTTCCGCCGCCTTCTCCTCCTCCTCTTTCTCCTCTTCCTCCTCCTCCTCGTCCTTTTCTTCCACGTGTTCTTTCTCATCCTCCATCTAAACCTACACTTTCACCTCCACGTTTTCCTTCTTATCTTGATCCTCTTCGGCATCACCCAAGAATCGTTGCCTGGTTCTCGCAGCCAGGGTCGTGCTTGACATCTTCCCAGTCGACGCCGGAGTAGGAGCACCTGGCGCGGTGGAATACCAGGTGAGGGTCGACGAATACTGATCACGTATTATATCACATGCGCCTGCTAAATATTTCCACGCGACGAAAGATACTGCTTTATAAATTTGCCTGCGCGCCGACACATTAGAATAAGGCAAACACTGGTCGAATGTGCGCGTAGAAGCACAGGGCGCACCCTGTCCCTCCTCCTCCTCCTCCGCCTCCTCCTCCTCCGACTCCGACTCCTCCTCATCCTCAACCTCAACCTCATCATCATCATCATCATCATCATCATCATCATCATCATCATCATCATCATCATCATGTTCCTCCTCCTCCTCCTTTTCCTCCTCCTCCTCATCCATTGCTGCTCCGTATAAACAACTCCCCCCTGTCGCACCCAGAGGCTTATGTAAGGCGCACCAGGCGTTTCACCTGAGACGCCTTCACAACTTATGATACTTCAGCTGAGAGTTTTGAAGAACTTCTCGGATGGAAGGCGGGTGGTTTTCAAAATGTAACTCTCGCTACAGCGCCGCGCACATCCGTCTCAAAGTTTGCAAGAGCTCCGCAGGTGACGACGGAAGGTTTTCAAAATGTGGTTCTCGCCCTAGCGCCGCGCATATTCGTTTCAGAAGCCTACAAGGCATCACGGACGGAGACCGGGTCGTTTTCAACATGTGGTTCTCGCCTCAGCGCCGAGCACAAGCGTCTTAGAAATTGCAACAGCTTCACGTACGGAGGGCAGTTAGTTTCCGAACATGATTCTCGCCTCAGACCCCCGCACATTCGTTTTAAGAGCTTACGGCAGTCTCAAGGAATCTCATGGTTACCATATCAGGAACAACGGCTTTCTGGCACGATGTAGGACTCTCAGGGCGCAACAGTTGCCCTGGTTCGCGGTGGTGAAGTCCCTGGCATGGTGTCCTGGTGCGTTGCCAAAACGAAGCAAAAACGGTGATTCGCGGCGCTGAAGTCCCAGGTATGGTGTTCTGGTACACTTCATGATTTGCGAATGTTCCAACGGGGCATTTCCTCCGTGCAAATGAATCCTTGTGGGGAAGGGCCTACGAAGAGGGAACTTGAAGGCAGGGTTCACTGCAATATCGCTGATGAGTCTTATTCTGGTACTCCTCCTCCTCCTCCTCATCCTCCTCCTCGTCGTCCTCCTCCTCCTCACGCTCATCCCCATCATCATCCTCATCCTTTTCCTCCCCTTTTTCCTTCGTCACCCCCCTCCCTCCCCGCGCGTTTCCAAGGGTCCCTGGCGGTCTCCGAAAGCCTCCAGCGGAATTTGGAAGCCCTTAGAAGCCCAAAGGGCCAGCAACAACCACAACTTCGACCGTCGCCCTCAAATCACCACGTGCAACTTTTCAGCGCGCAAACTGAACGCATTCGAAATAAAACGTCCCACGGGGTCGAGAAGTCCCGGCACGTGGAGAAAACGAAGGCAGCGGCCAAACGGAACTAGCGAACAATGAAGGGCCAGAGACAGAAGCGACGACGGCCAGCGGCAATGATGAACGAGTGCGAAACGCTGAAGACAGCAAACACCCCCCCCGGGGTTAGACCCTGAACGCGCCAGAACTAGCTCGAGGACTTTGCCTGTCGCACGACCCTGTCG